AATGATGATGCATTATGGAGACGTTCTATCCAGAGTGGAGTCGAGCATCCAAAGTGGATGAATCAGAGTAAGTTANNNNTCGGCCATGTGTGGATGATTGATGCTGGTGGATAGATGATACCAATCAATTGAAGTTTTTTTTTTTTTCAAGTCGACACAGTAGGAAGCAGCAAGTTGACTGAGAGATACAATCGATTGATTGCAACGAGAGGAATCTACTTTATCCTTCATATCATCATGGTGCAGCTCGTCAAGGAAAAGCCAGATTGGAACGGTGATCAGTTTAGGTTCATGACTGGAATGTACTTGTCCGCTGTCACCAATGTGTATGGAGCTGAGGCCATTCAAACCTACTCCCATATATTACATCACCATGTTGGGGAGGTAGTTGATGAGTACGGAAGCATTGCTATCTTCTGTATGCTATCACTTGAGTGTAAGTGTCTATTTAACTATCAAACTGTCGACCGCGGTTATTACATACTTACACTTAATCAATATCAAACTGATAGCGTTGCACCTTGTGACCAAGTGCTTTGTTGATAGGTGCACCAACAAAACCAGGCATGGCAATATCGCTCTATCAAAGACAGTGATCAATGATTCACTTGTGGAGAAGAGGCTTATGTACAATGAGGATTTGAAGAACGAAATCAATAGGTACTTGAAGTAAGCATATACATTTGAATGGAAGAGTAGTTGATGATTGAATGATCTGTTTTGAGGATATGGCATCTCTATAACAGATCATTCAACATAAGGTTTGACTTGCCCGATCTCATGGAACAGATGCGCAGATGGGACAGCAAGTATAGTGTTGGTCAAGATGTGGATGTGTGCACTGCATCAGGATTGACTGCGACTGATAACCTGAAGTACGGCCATTTGTCATTTGGTTGGTTTCCAGCAACGATACAATCATACAGTACCGCTACTGACCTCTATGAGGTAAAGTACAAGTAAGTACAATGTAATATGTKGTCGTCTCGACAACAGCAACACTTACACGTTACAACATTATGTGTCATCAGTGATCCCAATGGAATTGGCATTGAGCAGAATGTACCAGATTGTAGAATATTGCCGATAGCGAGAATGACCTTGACCAACCTGACCAATGATCTCGTTGGTAAGAAGGTCTTGGTCAAAGTCAATACCGAGACTGGATCAGATGTCAATGGCTATTGGTATAGGGCAACGGTGACACAGGTCCATTTGAGGAGAGGCAAGGCAACATCTGCCAGTGTGCAATTGGACCATGAGGCAGGATTAGCTGCGCGATGCCAAGTGTGGAGAGAGATCAATGGTCTAAGACAGACTCAATCGACGTCCAGTGAAAGACGGTCCAAGGCCATCGACAACAAGATCGAAGCACTGTTGGAGAAGGCCGCCCATTCAAAGACCAATCTGATGTCGATCTTTCTTTTTTTTTTTTTGCTTTTGTTTTTATTCTCTGACCAAGTGTGTCCATCAATCGACGAGATGTTTAA